GAGTAGCTAGGATTAGAGGCGTGAGCCACCAGCGCCCGGCTTTTCTTTCCTTTTCTTTCTTTCTCTTTCTTGCCTGCCTGCCTGCCTTGCCTGTCATCCTTCCTTCCTTCTTTCCTTTCTTTCTCTCGCTTGCTTGCTTTTTTCTTCCTAGTGGCACTAGGTTTATATGCTGGTTTGACTTTCCAGCATGGCTTGGTACACATGGTCTGTCATATGTACAAGAGGCTATCTGTGAATATTTTCCTATGTCTTGAACTCATTAATCATATGATTTTGAAGCACTTCTGTGGATTGAGTGATGAGGTTGATTATGTAATCTTGAGCTTTTCTTGTTGGTAAATTGAATTCAAGAGAACCATTGTTTTTTGCTTGCATTCTTTGAGATCAAGAAGTAGGACTTCTAAATGGGGTTGGATTTCCTTCCTTCCTTCCTTCCTTCCTTCCATCCTTCCTTCCTTCCTTCCTTCTTTCCTTTCTTTCTTTCTCTCTTTCTTTTTAAGTAAAAAGAAACTCCTTCACGAATCTGCATATCATCCTCCTTCGGGGACTATGCTAATCTTTTTTGTATCATTATTCTATGTGCTGCTGAAGTGAGCATGGGATTTGGAAAATCAAAACCTATTTTGGAGGTGCTTGTTGCTCTTGCGTTTAGGTTTTATTTAGATTCTTCTGCCTTAATCTTCTGAGTAGACAAAAAAAAAAGAACATTTTTTTTGTTCTTTCCTTTTTTTGTGTGTGTGCCAAGATCTGGTTACTGTCCCTTAGCTTTTTCCACTCAAAGCTGGTGCTCTGCCACACTCTGAACCACACCTCCACTTTACCTTTTTTGCGTTTCCTACAGGGCTGATTGTCTTTGAACCGAGATCCTCAGATCTCACCCTCCTGAATATCTAGGAGTATAGGTGTGAATCACTGGTGTCTGGCTTTTTTCTCCTCAAGGAATAAGGATTGAACCTAGGACTTTGTGCATGTTAGCAAGGACTTTACCTTTTGAGCCACACCCTAACCTCCTTTGGTCCCTGCTTTAATGTCTTAGGGTAAGTCAGTTCCCTGTTTTTTCCCCTTATCTATGAAATGAAGATTACTTACAAATTATAATAGGAGGCTGCCAGTTGCTGGTAGCTCACACATGTAATCCTAGCTACTCAGGAGGCTGAGATTCCAGGTTTGAAACTAGCTGGGACAGGAAAGTTTGGTGAGACTCATCTCTAATTAACCACCAGAAAACCTGAAGTGGAGCTGTGGCTCAAAGTGGTAGACCTGAAGTGGAGCTGTGGCTCAAAGTGGTAGACTGCAAGCCTTGAGCAAAAAAGACTAGAGACAGAGCTCAGGCCCTGAGACTGCAAGCCTTGAGCAAAAAAGACCAGAGCCCTGAGTTCAAGCCCATAACTGGTACACACACACACACACACACACACACACACACTTACATATGTTGGTACTTTGTGACCTGCTAAGGCACTTTTTGTGTGATAATTACAATCTAATTGATTTGATGGGTGTAACTATACCAGGTGTCAGTGAACTGTGGCTCCTGAGTCACATCTGTTCCACAGCTTGTTTTTATATGGCCTACAAGCTAAGAATGGTTTTTATAGTTCTGAAAGATTATAAGTATTAGAACTGGGGGGTGTGGTTCAAGTGGTAGAGCAAGGAAAAAAGCTGAGCAAAATCTCAATGTCCTGAGTTTAAGCCTTAGTATTTTTGCCCCCCTGCCCCCCTAAAAAAAGTCAAAGTCAAGAAAATGAGAAGGGGACTGGGAATGTGGCTTAGTGCTAGAGTGCTTGCCTAGATTGCATGAAGTCCTGAGTTCAATTCCTCAGTACCATATACACAGAAAAAGCCAGAAGTGATGCTTGTGGCTCTTGTGGCTCAAGTGGTAGAGTGCTAGCCAAGGAAGCTCAGGGACAGTGTCCAGGCCCTGAGGTCAAGTCCAGGACTGGCAAAAAAAGAAAAAAAGAAAATGAGGACAAGGCCATAGACAGGGAAAATATATTTGTAGAAGACAAATCTTTTTTTTTTTTAAGACAAATCTAATAAAGAACTGTTACCCCAATTACACAAAGATCTTTTAAAACTCAACATTAAGAAACAGAACAAAGGTAGATGATGGTATCTCAAGCCTGCAATCCTAGCTACTTTGGAGACTGAAATCTGAGGAATGAAGTTCAAAGCCAGCTTGGACAGGAATGTCTGTGAGACTCTTATCTCCAATTAGCTACCAAAAAAGCCAAAAGTAGAGCTATGGCTCAAGTGCTAGAGTGCTAGTCTTGAGCAAAAAAGCTCAGGGACAGCACCCAGACTCTGAGTTCAAGCCCCAGAACTGGCACACACATACACACAGAAAAATAAAAAAAGGAAGGAAAGAAAAGAACCTGGTTCGGGGCTGGGAAGGTGGCTCAGTGGTAGAGCACTTGCCTTGTATGCATGAGGCCCTGGGTTCGATTCCTCAGCACCATATAAGCAAAAAGAAAAAAAGCCAGAAGTGGCGCTGTGGCTCAAGTGGTAGAGTGCTAGCCTTGAGCTAAAGAGCTGAGGGACAGCGCCCAGGCCCAGAGTTCAGGTCCCATGACCGGACCCAAAAAAAAAGAAAAGAAAAGAACCTGGTTCATAGGAGTGAAAATATAACATATTTATAGAGCGAGCACAGGCTTAGCATGTGTTCATTTCCCAGCATCCCTTCCCTCTCAAAAATACAGATGCCTCACCAAAGAATATGTATGCATGGCAGATAAACAGTAAAAAGATGTACAATTTTTAGTCATGTCATTAGAGAATTGGGGATTAGTTAAAGATGCCATTACATGCCTATTGAAGGGACCAAAATCCAAAACATGACACCAAATGCTGGCAAGGATATGCATCAACAGGGATTCTTATTCATTAGTGGCCAAAATGCAAAATGATATGGCCACTAGAGAAGAGGTTTGGCAGGTTCTTAGAGAAGTAACATACCCGTAGCATGTGATCCAACTGTCAGAATTCTTGATATTAACCCAAATGTGCTTAGGACTTGCATCTACTCAGAAATCCTCACAGGAATGCTTGCAGCATCTTTATCTATAATTGTCAAAATTTGGACACCACCAGGATATCCTTCAGTAGGGATGGATAAACAGACAGTCATATATCTAGAAAATGGAATTCACCACTAACAAGGAAGAGCTGATATGGTTGTGCTTATTTTAGCTTCCTGAGAAGCTAAACTGGGATAATTACTAGAACCCAGAAGTTCAAGACTAACCTAGGCAATGCAGTGAGGCCTCCATTTTTAAAATTGGTGGGGCTGGGCATGTAATTCATTGATCGAGTGCTTGTCTTGTATACACAAAGTCCCTTGTTCATTCCACAACATCAGCTGGGGAGAGGGAACTATCAAATCATATGAAAAGATATGGAGAGAGTGATTGGGAATGTGGCTTAGTGGTAGAGTGCTTGCCTAGTAAGCATGAAGCCCAGGGTTCGATTCCTCAATACCACATAAACAGAAAAGGCTGGAAGTGGTGCTGTGGCTCAAGTAGTAGAATGCTAGCTGTGAGCAAAAAAACAAGTTCAGGGACAGTGCCCAGGCTCTGAGTTCAAGCCCCAGGACTGGCCAAAAAAAAAAAAAAAGATACAGAGAGAAGTAAAAAAGATAATTTTTTTTTGGGGGGGTCCGGTCGTGGGGCCTGAACTCTGGGCTTGGGTGCTGTCCCTCAGCTCTTCAGCTCAAGGCTAGCGCTCTACCACTTGAGTCACTGCGCCACTTCTGGCTTTTTTTCTTTTTTTTCTTTTTGCTTATATGGTGCTGAGGAATCGAACCAGGGCCTCAGACATGCAAGGCAAGCGCTCTACCACTGAGCCACCATCCCAGCCCCTTTCCCTCTTTTTTTTTTTGTCAGTCTTCAGCTCAAGGCTAGTGCTCTACCACTTGAGCCACAGCGCCACTTCCGGCTTTTTTCTTTGTGCTTACGTGGTGCTGAGGAATCGGACCTAGGGCCTCAGGCATGCAAGGCAAGCGCTCTACCACTGAGCCGCCTTCCCAGCCCCAATAATTGTAAAAATATAACATAGCATATAATTTAACTGTGACAGTGTGGAAAAGGAAAACCTTGAAGAAAGGACTATTTTAGGCATGAGTGGGGAAAGGCAGAGAGCGTAGGATTTATAGAATAGTCTTCAGTATGATACTACAGAACAGTAGAAAAAAAAAAGAACAGTAGATATAGCTTATTGTGTACATTTGTCACATCAAGTGAACCCCATGTAAATTATGAACCTTGGGTAATAATGGACCACTTATAGATTCATTGATTGTAACTAATGATCCACTTTGGTAGGTGATCATGTGCATATGTGGAGACAGTTTTATTTAAATTCTCTGAGCTTTTTGCCCAGTTTTGCTGTGATCCTAAAGCTTCTCTAAAATACAAAGTTTACTCATTAAAGATTAAAGGTATGACTCAAGTAGTAGAGTACTTAAGACTCTGAGCTCAAACTTCAGCACCACCAAGAAAATCAGAGTTGGATTAGGGAGTTCCTGATATACATAAATCCCTGAGTTTGAGTTCCAGCACCATAAGGGAAAAAAAATCTAATAGACTGGATGTTGTCCACATAGCCTAGAATATTTATTAATTGCCCTGATTTGGATCTAGGTGGTGAGATGCTTAGGCTCTCAGTTATGCCAGTCCTGTAGACTTCCTGGACACTAAGTGTCTCTATTGTTTTGTTTTTTCTTTTTGTCGGTTGTGGGGCTTGAACTCTGGGCCTGGGCTCTTCAATTGAAGGCCAGTGATCAATCACTTGAGCCACAGAGCCACTTCCAGTTTTCTGGTGGCTAATTGGGAGAGAGAAGAGTCTCACGGCTTTTCCTGCCCAGGCTGGTTTTGAACTGTGATCCTCAGATCTCAGTCTTGTGAATTGCTAGGATTACAGGCATGAGCCACCAGCGCCCAACATAAGTGTCTCTAATGTTAAAAGTTGTTCTTAAGAATTTCTGGCTTTTTTTTTTTTTACAGGTATATGAGTGACCTACAGCTGCAAATAAAGACGGAGAGAGAGCAGTGCCAACTGCGAGCAGGGCAAGGATGCCAATTCCTCCTCCCCCCCCACCCCCACCTGGCCCTCCTCCACCTCCCACCTTTAATCAGGTAGGTATTTGGATGACATCTACTACCTTTGCTTACTTTTTTGACTTTCCTACAGATACAGTAGTATATCTAGAAAATGGAATTCACCACTAACAAGGTGTAGTGGTACTCACTTTAGCTTCCTGAGAAGCTAAACTGGGATAATTACTTGAAGCCAGAAGTTCAAGACTAACCTAGGCAATGCAGTGAGGCCTCCATCTTTAAAATTGGTGGGGCTGGGCATGTAATTCATTGGTTGAGTGTGCTGTGGCTCGAGCAATAGAGTGCTAACCTTGAGCAAAAGAAGCTCAGGGGCAGTGCCCAGGCCCTGAGTTCAATCCCCAGGACTGGCAAAAAAAAAAAAAAAAGTTTTGGAGGGCTTATTCTTTAATTGTGTTTTGTTTTGTTTTCATTTCTGGGGACAGTGTGACAATGTAGCCCTGGCTTCCCTTGAACTTACTATGTAGCTAGCTTATGATAGCCTCCCACTTGTCTTCCTCTTTCAGCCTCCTGAGTGCTATGATTATAGAATTGTGCCACTGGAACTAGGAAGGTGGCTCAGTGATAGAGTGCTTGCCTTGCATGCATAAGGCCGCCCTGGGTTCAATTCCTCAGCACCACATAAGCAGAAAAAGCTAGAAGTGGCGCTGTAGCTCAAGTTGTAAGATGCTAGCCTTGAACTGAAGAGCTGAAGGATAGCACCCAGGCCCAGAGTTCAGGCTTCACGATTGGGGGGGAAAAAAAAAAAGAATTGTGCCACTATGCCCAGTCTTGAGGAATAATATTTTTAAATACTTATACTTTGGTTGGGTGCCAGTGGCTCACACCTGTAATCCTAACTACTCAGGAGGTTGAGATCTGAGGATCGCAGTTCAAAGCCAGCCCCGGCAAGAAAGTCCATGAAATTCTTATCTCCAATTAACTACCAGAAAACCAGAAGTGGCGCTGTGGCTCAAGTGCTTGCCTTTAGCTGAAGAGCTGACAGCACCCAGGCCCAGAGTTCAAGCCCCACGACTGACAAAAAACAAAACAAAACGAACAAAAACTTATACTTCACTAAAAATATCTGTGGAAAGATTAGAAAATGCAATAGAAAAAGAGGCTGGGTGTGGTGGCTCGTGCCAATAATGCTAGCTGCTCAGGAAGCAGATTGAAAAGTTGACAAGACCTGTCTCAGCCATTAAAAGAAGCTAGACAAGGTGTACATGCCTGTTATCCCGGCTACTAGGAAAGAGTAAAGAGGAGGGCATAGTCCATGCTTGCTGGGCTAACTATGAGAGTTTGTTGAAAAGTAAAGCAGAAAAGGCTGGGGGCATGGCTCAAGTGGTAGAGTGCTAGCCTTGAGCAAAAGAAGCTCAGGGACAGTGTCCAGGTCCTGAGTTCAAGCCCCAGGACTGGCAAAAAAAAAAAAATTAATTCCTATATTCACAGTGGTGTGTACCTGCAGTCCCAGCTACTCAAGAGGATCACTTGAAGAGGCTGTGTGTGTGTGTGTGTGTGTGTGTGTGTGTGTGCGCGCGCGCGTGCGTGCGCGTGCGTGGGCGCATGTGTGCATGCCAATTATGGGGCTTGAACTCACAGCCTGCACTGCCCCTGAGCTCTTATGCTCAAGTCTAGCACTCTACCAATTGAGCCATAACTCCATTTCTGGCTGTTTGATAGTTAATTGGACAGGTAAAAGTTTCATGGACTTTCTTGCCCAAGCTGGCTTCAAACCTCAAGCTTCGGATGTCAGCCTCCTTACTAGGTAGGATTACAAGTGTGAGCCACTGGTGCCTGATGTGCGCAGACTTTTTAAGGGTTTTTTTTTCCTCCCCTTGGACTGGTGCTTGAACTCAGGACCTGGCACTGTCCCTAAGCCTCTTTGTGTGCAGAGCTAGTGTTCTACCACTTTTTGTGAGTAGTTTACTGGAGATAAGAGTCTCACAGTCATGAGGCACTGGCGCGTGGCTTTTTTAAGGGCTGCTTCCCACCCCCACCCGCACACTTGTGGTGGGGCCTGAACTCTGGACCTGGGCTCTGTCCCTGAGCTCTTCAGCTCAAGGCTAGCACTCTACTACTTGAGCCACAGTGCCACTTCCAGCTTTTTCTGCTTATGTAGTGCTAAGGAATCGAATCCAGGGCCTCATGCATGCAAGGAAAACATTACCACTGAGCCACCTTCCCAGCCCAAGGGCTTCTGATACATGTTTTTTTAATTGTTCGTTGTTTTGTCGGTTGTGTGGCTTGAACTCTGGGCCTGGGCAATGTCCCTTATCTCTACCACTTGAGCCACAGCACCACTTCTGGTTTTCTGGTGGTATTTATTCGAGCTAAGAGTCAAGGACTTTCCTGCCTAGGTTGGCTTTGAACTACGACCCTCAGATCTCAGCCTCCTGAGTAGCTAGGATTATAAGCATGAGCCACTGGTACTGGCTTAAAATCACTTTTTATAAAGAGCATACCAATTTCTCTACCTCAGGTAGTGTAAGTGTGTTTATTTCTCTGAATTCTTATGATCACCATAGGGTAGTTATTCATTCTGCACATTATTTGAGCTTCTTTAGTGTGCTAGACATACTAGAAAGAAGTGAACAGTGGCCTCTACCATATGAGGCTTACAGTGTCTTCAGTTACCGGTGTTTACTAGCTGAATAGGAAATAATGTTGTGTTTTAGTCTCTCCCCCCTCCCCCCCAGTCCTGGGCTTTTTAGTTCAGGGCCTGGGCACTGTCTGAGCTTCTTTTGCTCAAGGCTAGCACTGTATAGCTTGAGCCATAACACCACTTCCGGCCTTTTCTGTGTATGTGGTCCTGAGGAATTGAACCCAGGGCTTCATGCATGCTAGGTAAACACTCTACCATTAAGCCACATTCCCAGCCTGGTTTTGATTTTTTGTACTTAAATAATATTATCATGCTTGAAGTTATTTCATAGCATGTCATGTAGTAGGGGTTTTATATTTTCCCAAAAGTTAATCAGTTGTTATCCATATCTCATTTAGTCAACTATCCATTCTTTTTTTTTGTCGGTCCTGGGACTTGAACTCTGGGCCTGGGCACTGTCCCTGAGGTGTTTAGCTCAAAGTGAGCACTCTACCACATTGAGCCACAGAGCCACTTCCAGTTTTCTGGTGGTTTATTGGAGATAAGAGTCTTATGGTCTTTCCTGCCCAGGCTGGCTTTGAACCATGATCCTCAGATCTCAGCCTCCTGAGTAGCTAGGATTAAAGACATGAGCCACTGGTGCCTGGCTCCATTCATTTTTTGTGTTTGCCAATGCTGGGGCTTGAATTCAGGACCTGGCCTATGTCTCTGAGTTTCTTTTGCTTGGTGCTAGTGCTATACCACTTGAGCCACTGCTCTATTTCTGGCTTATTTGGTAGGTTGGTGGAGAAAGAGTTTCACAGACTTTTGTGCCTGGGCTAGCTTTGAACTGCAGTCCTCAGTTCTCAGCCTCCTGAATAGCTAAGATGATAAGTATGAGCAACCGGTGCCCAGCTTGTCTATCCCTTTTTTACTGATGAGAAATACAATTAAAAAAAAACACAAATAAAAAACAACCCTGGGCCTGCTTATGGAATTGTTTTTTGTTGGATATATTAACTCTGTTCCTATGCTGCTGTTACAATTGATCTTGGCCTTTTTCTATTGTTGTTGTTGCAAGTTTCATTTTCTTTTTTTTTTTTTTTTTT